CATAGGTTGCTCCTTGCCACCCCTGGTGATTACCTAAGGCTCTCCCATTCAATTTATGGGTGCATTTTTCTGCATGAGGCCATACTTCTAAGATAGGGAGTCAAAGCAGCTCTACCTAATACATAGAAACAAACACAGGGAGGCTGCCAAAATGAGGAGACAAAGAAATATGGCCCAAATGAAAGAACAGATCAAAACTTCAGAAAAAGAACTAAAGAAAATGGAGATAAGCAATCTATCTATCAGATGCAGAGTTCAAAACACTGTTTATTAGGATGCTTAAGGAACTCATGGGTACTTTAGCAGCATAAAAAAGACCCAGGCAGAAATGAATTTTACACTAAGTGAAATAAAGAAAAATTTACAGGGAAACAAGAGTAGAGCAGAGGAAGCCAAGAATCAAATCAATGATTTGGAACATAAAAAAGAAAAAAAAACCAACCAATTAGAACAACAAGAAGAAAAAAGAATCCAAAAAAAAGGATAGGGTAAGGAGCCTCTGACACAACTTCAAATGTACTAAAATTTAAATCATAGGGGTACTGGAAGAAGATAAAGAGCAAGAAATTCAAAACTTATTTGAAAAATAATGAAGGAAAACTTCCCTAATTTGGTGAAGGAAATAGACATAGAAGTCCATGAAGCACAGAGAACTCCAAACAATATGAACGCAAAGAAGACTGTACACCAAGATACATCATAATTAAAATGCCAAAGGTTAAAGATAAAATCTTAAAAGCAGTAAGAGAAAATCAGAGAGTTACCTACAAAGGAGTTCCCATGTGACTTTCAGCTGATTTCCCCCCAAAAATCTTTGCAGTCTAGAAGGGGCGACTGGCATGAAATGAATTATTTAAAGTGATGAAAAGCAAGGACGTACAACCCAGATAACTCGATCCAGCAAAGCTATCATTTAGAACTGAAGGGCAGATAAAACGCTTCCCAGACAAGGTAAAGGAGTTCATCATCACCAAGACATTATTATATGAAATGTTAAAAGGACTTAAGAAAAAGAAGAACAAAACTATGAACATTAAAATGGCAGTAAACTCACAATTATCCACTACTGAATCTAAAAAACAAACTATGCAAACAAGCAGAACAGAAATAGAATAATAAATATGGAGGTCATTTGGAGGGTTATCAGTTGGGAGGGGGGAAAAAGGGAACAGGAAAAGATGCAGGGATTAAGCAGTACAAATGGGTAGGTACAGAACAGTTAGGGGGTTGTTAAGAACAGTGTAGGAAATGGAGTAGCTGGGGAACTTAAAAAACTGGGACATGAACTAGGGGGGCGGTGTTGCTGGAGGGAATGGGGGTACTGGGTGGAGGAGGGCAAAGGGGGAAGATTGAAACACATTTATTAATAGCATAGTCAGTAAAATGTATTTTTTAAAATAGAAGTACTAAGAAAATAAAATCACTGCTGCACTGCAACTCTTAACTGATCAACCTTTCCCCATACCCTTTACTTCTCCCTATAAAAAGATCAGCTTGAGAAAAGATGTTAGGATGGTTTTTAGGGTACATAACCCATTGTCTTCTCAGATCATTGGCATCTGAATAAAAGGCCAATTAAGATTCAATCCTTGTCTCTATTTATTGGTTCTGGTAGTGACAGGCAGCACAAATGCCAACTTTTCTGGTTTCAATTTTCAAATAACATTTCTTTAAATCCACAGGGCCATTTCTCTTATTTACTCTGGGTAAAATAGAGCACACTTTTGTAGAGCCTGATAAGGTTACGCTATTCAGTTTTGACCAAAATTACTTAAATGACTGATTTCCCTGTGACTTCTTAAAAGGTTTTAGTTTTCCCTTCCTATAGAGTAGAAGCTTACTTTAGATTTCTTCCAGTTACAGTTATTTCCTGTTCTTGGGGCCTGGGGACTGGGTGGTGGGCAGAGACATTTTAAAGTATGTTTCTTCTTGTCAATTTAGGTGTTAAGTTTGTACTGTGCATAATGCTTTTACTAAAAAGGGACATGTAACAGAAAAGCAAATGCAACGTAGTTAATGGTGCTTCTGTAGAAATTGGTGGAAGGAGTAGTGGTAATATGACTAAAGCCTTACTGAAATGCCCTGGGAGAAGGGGTCCCTGGGACTGATTTTAGAGGGAATTTTTTTTAAAAACAACATTTGACTTATTTTTCTTAAAAAAAGTTTCTTATGCTTCTTGTCTCTGTATATAGAGAATTCTGTGCCAAACAACACATTACTATTATGGGTTACTTTTGAAATCTCTGGCTTTTAACTTTGGAGCAGGATCTAGTGATAGCCAGTTAAGCAATCTGAGCCCATTATCGATTCTCAAGTCTTAGTGCTTTAATGAGGGCCTTTATACCATCATCAGAAGTGGGATCTGGAGGCATTGACTGGAAAGATGAGATCATCTAGAGCTCTATGAAATTGTTGTGTGTCTTCACTGCCGTGTCTTTTATTGTGTCATCCTGCTTCGAGATGAACTGTGTCATACACCCTTGTTAGAGGTATAGAAAGCGTAGATATCTAGTCCTCCCTCTGCTAGGGTTTTAATATTATAAACTGAGAGGCTCAACAGAAAAGAGGAGCATAGAGAGGGAGGGACAAACCAACAAGAGAGGAGATAATAATGCTGCTTTTTGTTGCTTTAAGAAGACCCAAGCTTATGCCAATACAGACATGTGAAAGGAGTGACAAAGTGGGTGGGAAAAGGAAAAATTGGTAACTGTAACCAGTGGCGCTTGCACAGTTGGATAACCATGTGCAAAATTATGTAATGGTCTTCTGCCTCAAACCATTCATAAAAATTCTGTTCCGGTAGGTTAATTTAAATGTTAAAAGCAGAGTATGTACCTAATACTATGTCTTAATTTAATGATGATCTTAATACCTTAATAAATATCACTACTGCTTCTTGAGTAGTAAAAATTAATTCTTGCAAGAACACCATTTTATATGTAACTTCTCCATTTATTGCCATTTAAATAATATTTAACTTTTAAAAGTATCTGGGGAAGGTTTTTCTTTTTTCCCTTAAAAAAGCATATTTGTGAAGAACCTCATCTGTGGAATAATTGGCTCATTAGCTTGAGCAAAAGGCGGCTTATCAATATATTGAGGAGTTTAAATTTCAGCCTCCCAGTAGAGGGATCAGAGAAGGAAATGATCCCTGTGTTTTCTAGGAGATAAGTATTTGGGCTGAAGAGCTTTTCTATTCCTCTGCTGAATGAAGGCTGACAGTCAGTTACCAGTAACTGTGTATATGAGATGTTTCAGCGTAAGAGAAATGAACTCATTTTCAGGCCTACGGAACCCAGTCGGACCAGAAAAGCCGCAGTTTCAACTGCTATCTTAAATATCTCCAGGTCTTTAGCAAAACCACCTTGTTAGTAGGAAGGGAAGATCACAGTAAAAGCAGGAATCAGACATAATTTTCTATCCTACTACTGTGAGAAATTCCAAATGTTTAATGTTACAACTTTAAGATGTATGAATTTGATATTCAAGTTCGTTTTATATAGTCAGTTGTTTGTGTTTAATGTTACTTAGTGTGATTTTCTTTTCTGACCTCATAGTAGATTGAGGGACTACCCATGAGCAGTATTAAGCTTTTCCTCAGGAAACACTTCTGGGGCCACTTTAGCCCCATGGACTTGTGAATACTCCAAGATTCCAAAGTCCTTTGCTAAGGAATATATCCACAGTAATTTTAGCCTGTATATTTAAGAGACATGATTAATTACCCCTGCTACTGCAAATCTTAGTTTTGTATACATACAACTGTAATGTTAAACAATAGAATTTCTAATTCTTACATATTTTACAGAAAGGATCTCTGTAAGCAAAAACTGAGTTAAAGTCAAATTTGTGTATTTTTAGTTTTGAATGTTTTACTTTATAATGCTTTAATGTGTTATTTTATGTTGTTTTCCATTCTTAAATTACTTTAGTTGTCAGTTCCAAAAAGATTATTTTATACCATAATTACAGATGGGATCTTTATTTTATATTATAAATACATTATTTTATTTAATGACAGTACAGTTATCCATAATTAGTTGTGTTCTTTAGGTCCTGGAAGATTATTATTAGTCCAGTGTTAAGAAATAGTCCTGGTGCTGTTACCGCTGCTCTGTGTTAGAAGTGGAGGTCTAACATAGCCTACGCCCACAACTTGGGTCTAGGTAATATTTCCTTCCAAGATGCAATACTAGTGTTTGACTTGGATGACTCAGATCACCTCAGACATTTTAACTACTCACTGGTTACTTGGCAAAACATTTCTGGAGCCACTCTAATACATGGGCTTGTGAATATTCCAAGATTCCAGAGTCAGTGAGAAAAGTTATGTAAAGGAAATTTTCCTTAATTAAAGTGGGTGAAAATTGGTTATAATATTGAAATAGTTATGGGTGAATTTATGTCTGTGTTTGCTTTAAAATGATTTGTTGGTTAGTGAAAGAGGATGTGGGCAGGGGTTTTAGATGAAATAAAAATAATTTTGAGTGGATAATTGTTGCAGCTGGGAAATGGGCACATCGGAGTCTTTTGCTGTATTCTCTAGTTTTATGTGTGTTTGAGATTTTTTTAAATAATAAAACATAAAAAGTTGAATGGAAGATTGTTAGATCAGTGATGTTCCCGTTCTCAATTAGGGGGACTCCTTGAGAGAATTAAACCCTAATGCCCTAAGGCATCCAGTGCGAATAATACTTCTCTTGCGTGCATCTAGAGTGGTGTTAATTATGTACCACTCTTGCAAGGCTTGAGAAAGTAGGGTTTTTATTTCTTATTTTTTTAATGTTTTGTGGTTCCTAGTGAGGAACATTGAAAGGCTGGTTGAGCGTATAGAAATATATAATTGAGTCAACATTGTACTGTTTTGTAACTTGATGTTTCTTTGCTTTTTTAAATATAAGTTTCAAACTTCAATTTTTGAACATGGTCAGAATACCGTGTTGATAACATGTTAACCCTGTACTGAAACTTTCTGAAAATGTGGTTTTCTCTTCTGTTAGGTATAGTCTGAAAATACAGCCTGTTGAGAGAATGCATCTAGCGGTAGTGGCCTGTGGCGAAAGACTGGAAGAAACCATAACCATGTTGAAGTCAGCGATCATTTTCAGTATCAAACCTCTTCAGTTCCATATTTTTGCTGAAGATCAACTACATGATAGTTTTAAAGGCATAGTAAGTATTTGAGACTTAAGTCTGTAGAGCTGAATATTTAATGGTGTGTTATAATAGAATGTTGTTTTATTCCTTCATTGAACAAAAATAATTATTCTGTAACTCTGGCCTTATAGGTAGGGGACTGTTCCCTGCTTCCACTTCCATCGAAGAGTCAAGATCTAGTATATAAAGATGAAGGTTTGTTTTTGAAAGGGAATAATATACTTAAAGTTTTCTGCCAATCATGGAGGGAGGTTTAAATTGACTGACTATAGTTCTAGGATGGTTGCCTGAGAAGTCCTATGATTTAATTTTGTTCTTATCCTTGGCATGGGAGAGCCTTAGTGAGAGTGTATACAAAGGTTTAAATTCTGTTTTGAGGAGAAGAAACTCTTGACTGACAATATGGAGGGAAGCAGCTTTTTGTTCTGATAAAAAATTTCTTTATTTTGATTTTCGATTAATTTTAATCAATTTGACCATAATGGCAGAAAACTCAAAATAACAGTGGCATAAACAACACAGAAGTTAATTTTTCTCTCACATAAAAGGAGACAGTCTGCAGTATATGGCGGCTTCATTTCTTCATGGACTCTGACTTTTCTCTTGTAGCTGAGTGTTCTTTAACTTAAGGCTTGTACCGCATGATCCAGGATAGCTGCTGAAGCTCCGACTATCATATTCATATTCCAGCCAACATGAGGGAGGAAGCAGTGAAGAGGGCAGTCCCTTCCTTTCCTGTAAGGGCATTTCCCAGAGTTTGCACGTGACATTCCTGCCAATATTTCATTGGCCCAAATTTACTAATGTGACCATACCTAGCTGTGAGAATTGAGAATATATTCTTTTATTGTGGCAGCTATTGTAACCTCCTTATAACAGCAACAAGTTACTGTGCAAGAAGAAAACAGAAAGATAGGTGGAAGAACACACAAAACAGAAAATTCCCCTGAAATCTTAACTGCCTTGTGCTCTGAGATGGTGGTAAAGATAATGATAGTGGTTATCTCTTCACTCCCCCCAGCTGCACTAAATTAAGCTTTCAGGCTGATTTGGATTTTTATGCTTTGTCTAACCATGTAGAAACATATATTTGTTTTTCTTTAAGTTGAATTAGTTCATTTTGCACATTGAGTGAAAAATACTACTTGTGATCTTAAGTCTTTTAGTTTTCTGCCAGAATCTTTGTTCCAAGAGTTAATAAAGCTTTACTTACTGTTTTAAAATATTTCTAGTAGCTATATGAGAAGGGACCCAAAAAATCCTGGAATTATTTTCTGGAGTGCAAGCCCCTTGTAGTACATGTTTCCCCGGCTAGGTGAGTGTCTAGGAACCCATCTGTATCAGTGTACCAGCTGGTGGTGTGAGAGGCTGCATTCAGCTTCGGTGAATTTTTTTTTGAAGACTGTATAAACGCTTTTGCCCATTTCATGATGGGTGATTAACGAGCTTACTGCCAACATTGCTCTGAGTGTTCAGCAGTTTTTGACCAAAAAATGCCATGACCCCCGTGTCCCTCCCTCTCTAGTCACCTGACCTTGTCCCAAATGATTTTTCTTTTGTTTCCCTGGATGAAAAAGGTCCTCAAAGGGAAACGTTTTGCCAGTGTGGAAGAGGTGAAACAAAACATGGCAGAAGCACCAAAAGGATCAAAATTGAGTTCAAAATCTGTTTTGAGCAGTGAAAAAAAAGGTCTCATAGGTGTATTGTTTCAAATGAAGAGTACTTTGCAGGTGACTGAAGTTTAAACATGTAAGAATAAATACACAATTTTTTATAAATAAATTTCAGTTTCTTTTTGGGTCCCCCCCTTGTATTTTCAATATGAGATTTTGTGACTTGATCTCTATCTGGATTGATTTCTAAAATATTAACTGGGGAATTAATCTGATCCTAACAGTTCACAGAATAACAATAGGTTGCTACCAACTGTAGAAACCTTTGAAACTGTAATAAAAAAATAAAATAAATTTATTGCTAATTTTATCTTACTTATTTTTAAAGATTTTATCATATTTTAGAGAGGGGAAGAGAGGGTGAAAAGAAGGAGAGAAACATCAGTTAGTGAGGTTGCCTCTCAGAGGCCTCAACTGGGGACCTGGCCCGAAACCCAGGCATGTGCCCTGACTGGGAATTGAACAGGCAACCTTCTGATTGGCAGGCCAGTGCTCAGTCCACTGAGCCACACTAGCTAGGGCTGTTGCTTCGTTTTATATGTAGCCTCTTTATTGTGTTCAGATGTGGCTGAGTTATTGCTTATGTAATACTATTATTTTAAGTTTAGTTTTTCTTTTAATTCATAGTCAACGCAGAATGGTTTTGCTTATGATGAAAGGTATCAGATATTTTGTGGGACATGTTTATACTGCAGAAAAGAAGACTAAATATTAGAATGTTAAATTAAAATTACCAAGATTTCATTTTGAAGTTGGTATTGACAGGATCCATATAGGTCTCTCAGGGAAAATAAAATGCTAGTTTGATTAACAGAGACATCCAAGTAGAGTGTTCGAAATAGAGATACTCCCTTAAACTATGTTGGAAGGCATTGTTTTAAAAATTACTTGAACACAGTCATCAATCAAAAAGAGAACATCTTCAGCCTGTTATATAACCTGCTTGTTTGGTGCACCCCCCCCATCCCCCAAATTGTGAATTCTTTGTAGGAAATTTGAACCAACAATTCTGTTGATGTAAAAATGATAGGTAATACTTAAACTAAATTTGAAACAATTTAGTGTCTTGAAATGTATTCAGGATGCTAAAGAGTAAACATATTCATTGTAGATTTTCAGATGTTTTGCTTTTTGTAACTTTAGAAGTTGGCATTGGATACGTAGTTAGCAGAGTATTTTATTATCAGTAATATCTATGCATATTAAAAGCACATAGACAAATATTTTCTAATCAGTTTCATGTAGGTCTGACTTTGAATGTAAACATTACCTATTATATGTTATGGTAATAAAACTAGTGCTTAATTTTTCTGAGTTTAGGGATTGAAAAGGAATTATGTATCAGGTAAAATTGAGGGAGATGAACAACTTGCAAGGCTCATTCAACTTTCTGATTCTGTGATTGATTTCCTTATAACTTTTATTGTGCCCTTGTGGTGGAGTCTTTCTAGCATATTACTATGATTTTAAGATTTTGAATGAAACAAAATGGTGAGAAAGAAGACTCTGACTTTTCTCTTTAACTGTGTACAACACAAAATGTATACTAACTCATTTTTTAGTTTTTAAAAATAATATGTTGGTGTATGATTTTACAGAGAAAATTGAAAGTGAAACAAACCTAAACTGATTTCTTATTTTTTAATATTTTTTAGCTTGATAGCTGGTCATTTCTACAAACATTTAATTATTCATTACACCCAATAACTTTTCCAAGTGAAAATGCACTGGAGTGGAAAAAGCTCTTTAAACCATGTGCTTCCCAGAGATTATTCTTACCGGTAAGTTTCTTCCCCAGTGGTGTGTTTTGTTTTGTTTTTGACTTTTGATTTTACACATGAGTTAATAGAGTTGCATTTAAATCATTAAGTAAGCACATGTATACTTTTCCTTTTGAACTTAAGGGAAAAAATACCTTCCAATATAATAAATAAAAGCTACAATAAAAACCTGTTAAAATGAAAGATGTGAGTAATTTCTGTTGAAATACTATTTCTTATATTTTAATTTATTCAGTGCTATAAACTGTTATATCTCTAAGAAGAAATTGAAGTGAGGTCATCAGATTTAATGGAGCTGAATTTGTTGCCAGAAGAAATGCAGTGGTAGTATCACTTTCAAGTTGCAGACTTTGTTTATAATTTGGGAAATGAAGTAGATTACATCATTAAGTAACCATTTTTGTTACCTTTTCTAACTAATGTTTTAACCCACCAAAAATTTAAGGCATGTGAACTCAAAGGGACAGGGGAACCTTTTATTCAGTGGTGCTGTTCTTTGGTATTTTCTGGCAATAAACCCTGATTATTATTTTTTTAATCTAAAAATATCCAGAAACAAGGCTACCTGTTTCATTTTGAATTGAAATGAAAAATGGTTTCACCCACAGTTTTAAAATTCACAGTAGTTAAATTAGGACCGTCATGTTGTTTAAAATAATTGCAGCAGTAGGAAGTTGAAAGTAGAAAGCGGAGTTTAAGAAGTTTACAAGTTTCTTGAAAGTATATGAATTACAGGGAAGAAACTTTAGTTATTTGTTAGTATTAGGTGGATTAAGGCAATTCTTAGCACATTAGAAATACAGTTTACTGAATTCAAGATGTCAGTAAGATTTAAAGTTAAGTTATAATTTTGATAGCTAAGTCTCCTAACTTAGTATCTTTGTTACTATGCATAAAAAAAAAAAAGAATCCTAGGATCTTTTTCACTTTCCACTTCCGTTGTAAGAAGCACACAAATAAGGCATTAAGATAGGGAAAAAAGCCTAAGAAGTTTTAGATACTTTTAAATACATAGGCTTTATAAGTTAAAAAAAATTTTATGTTGAATTATTGTAGTGTTACATTCATTTAATAATTTGAGTGCCTATTTTTTTTGCCAAACATCTGTAATAAAGTGCTGGATATATAGGAATGAACAGAACAAATATATTTCTTGTTTTCCTAGTTTATTGTGTGATGTGGGAGACAGACATTAAACAAATACAACATGACATTAAATAAACACAAATATTACTAGAAATGTGATGAAAGAAGCATGAGATTACTGCTGTTTATATTCCATTCTTCATTATTGATGAATAAAGGATTAAAATTAAAAAGTTTAAATTTTTTATTTTTAATTACTGTTGACATACAATGTTATGTTAGTTTCAGGCATACAACCCCATGATTGGATGCTTACATAGCTTACAAAGCCATCATCCTGATAAATCTAATATCTATCTGACACCATACACAGTTACTACAACAGTATTGACTATATTCCCTGTGTTGTACTGTACATCCCCATGACTATTCTGTAACTACCAATTTGTACTTCGAAATAACTTCATCTCTTTTACCCAGCCACCAACTCCTCTCCCATCTGGCAACTGTCAGAATGTTATCTGTACCTAAAGTCTGTTTCTGTTCTGCTTGTTTATTGATTTTTTAGATTCTACATATAAGTGAAATCATCCAGCATTTGTCTTGTCTGTCAGATTTATTTCACTTAACATAATACCCTGTAGGTCCGTCCATGTTGTTGCAAATGGCAAGATTTCATTCTTTTTTATGGCTGAATCATATTCCATTGTATATATGCATGACTTCTTTATCCATTCATCTATTGATGGACACATACACGTTTAATTTTTGATGTCATATAAAATTTTTCAGATCATTTAATGATGTAATCCAGTTAAATTCCTAAGCGGAATTTGAAATACTAAAAATACTTGAAAACTGTCAAACTGTCCTCATACTTGACTGTTACTTATGCATCTTTTAAGTTGATGCTATATTTTTCTAAGTGATATACTATTTTTTACTGAGTTTTCTCTTCCTTTAAAAATGGATGGATGAAAAGAACTAATGTAAGCTCTGCCAACTTCTTCCCCCAAAAGGAACCACAGAAAAATACTGGTGGTGGTATTTAAATTAATGTCTAATCGCCAGTTAGCAGTGGCTCCAACAGGGGACTTGGATCTTTATGCAGTGTCTTCTTAGTCTGCAACAATACAGTAATCTTTAGACACACGTTTTTTGTATCGTGGTACAGAAGCAGAATGTCATACAAAAACAGTTGCCCTCGCCCTGGCTGATGTCGCTCAGTGGATTGAGTGCCGGCCTGCAAACCAAAGTGTCACTGGTTTGATTCCCAGTCTAAGGCACATGCCAGGGTTGCAGGCCAGGTCCCCAGTAGGGGGTGTGCAAGAGGCAACCACACATTGATATTTCTCTCTCTCCCTTCCCCTCTCTAAAAATAAATAAAATTTTTAAACAAAAAATAAATTGCCCTCATTTTCCTCCCCCTAAAAAAGACATATAGACACATATAACATACTGTTTCTTTTATAATTAAAGCCTCTTTCATATTTTTTATTAAGTAAAGAATATTATAGTTAATGATTCAAATATCTCTCTCCATAGTTAATCCTGAAAGAAGTTGACTCACTATTGTATGTTGACACCGATATCCTGTTTTTACGGCCTGTTGATGACATTTGGTCTTTACTGAAGAAATTTAATTCCACACAAATTGCTGCAATGGCACCAGAACATGAAGAGCCTCGAATAGGATGGTATAATCGCTTTGCCAGACATCCATATTATGGAAAAACTGGAGTAAACTCTGGAGTTATGTTGATGAACATGACTAGAATGAGAAGGAAGTATTTCAAGGTAAGTCACTGGTATAGGTAGTTGGTTAACATTAGTTTCCCTCCAAGTTGTTTGGTTTATAATTTAATTTTGCTTTATTAAAAATAGGTCAAAGTATTCAGAAGTTTTCCATTTTTCTAAAATATTTGAAGAAATGTGTGTTCTTAGTATTCTCTTTATTAGAGAATTACAATGAAGTGACATAATACAGTGTAGTGAGCGTCATCTTAGATTGTTATTCTAGGCAGTAGTTGTCATTTTGTGGTTAATGCGGCCATAGAATACTTGAATCTAAAGTATAACATCTTGTGGGAACACAAGAGTTGTAATTAAGAGCTTAAGACTGCTGGCTTGGGTCAAAATCTTGGACTTTGGGTAAGTTTTGAACATCTATGGGCTTTAGTTTTCTTATCTGTGAAATGAGAATGATAAGGTAACTGTACCTATGTCATAAGTGTTTGTGAGGATGAAGTTATCACAATGGCTAACACATAGTAAATGTAGAGAACATGCCACTTAGTAAGCACGCCAATGTTAGCTAAAAACAGTGACTTCTGAAACACCCATATAGTGTTATTGTTTATCCCTTTGCATCTAGTTAGGACTGAAGTAAACATTAAGGGACATTATGTCTTATATGATATGCATATATACAAGGTCTGTCTGGAAAAAGTCCAGCCATTCTTAATATATTGTGACAACAGTGTAACCTGGCAGACGAGGAGAGTGGACTGGAATGCGCATGCATGAACAACGATGCCTTCACTATACTAGTCAGTGGGGGAAGTAGGTGCCATTGAGTGAGCATGTTGTACTCGGTGGCCAAAGCATTCAAAATGACTGAGCGAGTAGAGCAATGAATCTGCATCATATTTTGCATTAAGCATTCCTCCATGGAACATTCCTCCATGGAAACTTTGGATGATTGAGAAGGCTGCAGCCAGGGGCAGCTAGTGATTGGCAGCTTTATCATGACAACGTGCCCCCTCATGCATCACTTCTTGTGCAGTGTTTTAGTGAAACATCAAATCACCCAGGTGACTCAAACTCCCTACAGCCCAGATTTGGTGCCCTGCGACTTCTGGCTTTTACCAAAACTAAAGCCACCTTTGAAAGGAAAGAGATTTCAGACTGTTGATGAGATTCAGGAAAATACGACAAGGCAGCTGATGATGACTGGGAGAACTGTGTGAGGTCCCAAGGTGCCTATTTTGAAGGGGACTTGAGGTGTCATTGTTCTATGTACAATGTTCCTTGTATGTTGTATCTTCTTCACTAAATGTCTCTATTTTTCATACTGCATGGCTGGAAAGCTTCTAGAGACCTCATATGTATGTTTGTATACATATATATTTGTCAGATAGTTTTCTTATGGCTTCTGGTGCAACACAATTTATATCATTATTTATTACTCCTTTTTACATGTATGATTTAAATCTTGTCTCATTTAGAGTTCCCTCTTATCTTTGGTATAGGTAGCTGCAATGCTTGTCACTATCACCACCTTACATCCTGACATTTCAGCCTTCGGACAGTTTATACCCATCACTCTTGTCTTCTGTAGACCTAGTAAATCTAAGCTTTTTTTTTTTTTTTTTAAATAAAGTTTTTACATTTTCTGAACATTTCTGAAAACCTGATTTCATTTTACCTTCGTCTCCCACAGTTGAATGCATTAATGAGGCTGGTGAAACTTGTGTTCTTGCTTAATAGTGAGCATCTTTCTTCAGTTACCCAATTTGTTAATTTATCTTGAGTTTTGAAATTTCACATACTGTAAATTTACTAAGTAAGGTGTAAAACTATGAGTTCTTTTCCCTTTTCCATGCACAGTAATAGTATACCAGAAGATGGTGCTATAAGATTATCTGCTAAGGAATAATGTGACTTCTCAGTCACTCTTCACTTGAAATTCACAGAATTATGAGAAATTTAGTGTTAACCTTAGAGATAATTTAGTGGAACACCACTGTTCAATTTCAAAAAAATTTCTAAGTGCAGCTATATAGTTAAAATGTATGATTATTTTTACTTACTTTTTACTTACTTAAATGTCATTCTTAAATATTTTAATAGTTTCTCACCTTTTTTCTTTTTGTCTGTGGCATGTTCTAAACCATCTGAAGATACAGATTTGGAACTTAAAATAATTTTTAAATTTTCAAACTTACACTTTCTTCTGTGCATTAATGACTTAATGAAGAAAAATTTGAGAGGCATGATTGTACATTAATTGAGTAGATAAAGTTTGCTTCATACCAACCATCTTGTGTTCCAAACAGCGCTTTTCTTGCTCACTGGGAACAATGCAAATTGGCTTTGTTTTCAAATATTATTACATTTATGAGTTCTGAGATACTTCCACAAAATTTGAGTTTTCAATTCCTTTTTTATAATCTTTCTTTGTTTTCCTGATTGCTTTCCAGTCTATATCTATAGCACACATTGCCTTGTTTTTTCCTAATTCTACAATTTCTGGCATAGATGCTCAGTTTTAGAGCTCTAGTGATATAACCGAGTTACTTATAGTAACTTTTCAAACTGTTTCATACAGATTCATGAATGATGTTCCATAGTTCTTATCACATGAAGAGCTGTAAGACCACCCATTTAGGACAATGGCCATGTTTTAGATTCTTATTACTTTGCTGTCTCCCAATTTGTACCATTTATGACTGTTCAGTTCTAACCTGATGTATTATAGTTATATATATTAAAAATAGTAAAGATTTTGCCCTGGCTAGTGTGGCTCAGTTGGTTGGAGTAGACTGAAAGGTTGCGGGTTCGATTCCCAGTCAGGGCACATGCCTAGGTTGCGGGTTCAGTCCCTGGTCAGGGCATGTACTAGGGACAACGAATCAATGATTCTCTCTCACATTGGTGTTTCTCTCTCTCTCTCTAGTCCTCCCTTCCCCCTCTCTAAAATCAATTTTTAAAAATAGTAAAAATTCTCCTTTTTTACACTTTTTAATTCTTTTTCATCATAATGCTCAATAGACAATGATATTATACTGGCTAAGCTATTGTTTTGTATTTTGTGTTATTGTAAGTGCAGTATTATTGAATCCCTATTAGGATATTTCTTAACTTTTTTCTATTTATCAGAGAAAAAACAATATAAATAAGGCATCTTGAGAATCCTTTCCTTCTATGCTTACTGTATCCTCTTCGTGTCCTGCTGTATATTACTTTGCACAATAATTTTTGTAACTTTTCTCCATTTACTGAGAACAGGAAGTGACTTTTGTTCAGCTTTGTATTCTCAATATTTAGTATGGAGCCTGGCATAAAGTGGCAGCTCAATAGATAATCACTGACAAAAGACAGATGAAAATTTTAGAAACCAAGCCATTAATAAATTATTAAAAACTTTGGAAAAGAGAACAGTTACTATGAGGTGGACATGATAGTTGTTTTTATGTATTTGAAAGTTGTATATGACAGAGAACTTTTATTAGTTGTTTTATATATACTATACCTTAACTGAATATCAATGAATATCTTACCAAAAGGGATAGAATTGTCAGAGATTAGTGGAGTAGCTAATCTTTGGGAATTGAGTTTGTTTCTAGCATTGTTGGAATATTAATAGGAACAGCCATCTGTCAGTTTTATATTTATAAGGTAGACTGATAATGAGCCTATGTGTTTTCAAAAGATATGTAATTCTAAAAAGGAAACTAATCGATCTTAATACATGTGCATTTGGTAGCAGGTTTGCTAAAATTAGTAAATCAGAACTAGGTACAGAGTGGGCAAAATAGTTGTACAGTTTGTATGGAAAATAATACAATAATTAATAATATAAGAATAAACTGTATTTTGTGTACTTAGAACTGTATACCTACTTTTGCCAATCTGTTTTTTTAATTACAAAACTAAATCATACTTATAAAAATTTAAATAATTCATTACATGTAGAGTTCCCTCTTTCTACACCTCACTCCCCAGTTTCATTTCTTTGCCCAAATGACATAAACTGCTATGTACCATATTCTTTAGACGCTTTAAAAAATCTAATTTGCAACTCATACACATGTGCATTAGCACTTATAGTTAGGGTCCTTGTATACCTAAACCTTGCCCTTTTTTTTTTTTTTAACTTAGTAAATATGTAATTGACTGCTTTTTGTTGGTACACATAGTTTATCACATTTTTAATGTATGTATGGTATTGTGGAGAGTGGATAATTTGGTTTTATTATTTGTGTGTACTAGTATAAATACGAAATTATGTGGCTGAAAAAATATCTCATATTTTAATTTGTATTTTTCTCTTGTACCAGTGTGGATAAAAATCTTGTAATATAATTTTTAGCCATTTCTTTTTTCTCCTTTGTGAATGGCTCTTTGTCCATATCCTCAGACTATTTCTGTACTTGATTGTTTTTCTAATTCTGTTGATGTGAACTACTTTTATATATAATGCCTCTATATTAAACTGATTTCTCATTGTTTTTTTCATTGGTTGTCTTGGATATTTTAGGTTATATCATCATCAAATAATATTAGGGTTGTTGCTTCCTGTCCAGTATTTTTGTAGTGGGATTTTTTTTTAAGTCATAAAGGTTTTATTTCCTCCCCTTCGATTTTCCCCCTTCAAGACTACATCAGACCTTGTATTAATTGATTTTTGTTTGAATAGATTTATGTATGTATGTGTGTGTGTGTATCTGTCTGTCTGTCTGTGTATATTTGAAGAGGTTGGATCCAGTGAGGACTAGAACATGGCATCGTATAGCATTTCCACCAGTCCTGTCTGTTAAATGTGTTGCTGGTCTTTGTCCTTGTGCAATTCATGTTTTCCTTTTCAGATCCTACGAACATTTTGTTAACCTACTCAGTGACTTATTTCAGAGTCATCCTTTCAATAGGTATTTTCTTATTTTCCTAAAACTAGTTTCAGCCATTTTCTAGATTTTTTTTTTTTGGAGTGGACTTTTGATTATTTTATAATTATTGTGATTACTTCATTCTGACAGACTTCACACAAAGGTAATTAAATTTTAGCAGATCAAATTTAGTTTAAATGTGTATTTTATTCCCAGGAATTCTAGCTTTGCTTTTTCTTTCTTCAAGGATAGATTGTTTATACCCACAGTGATTTTATTATATATCCTAGTATAGCTATAACAGTGTTTTTCAAACTTTGGAGAAGGATTGATTATTTATACATTTATCTAATTTTAGAGAGAAAGGAGAGGAGGTAGAAAAAGAAGGAAAGAAACACTGATGTGAGACAGAAACATCAATTGGTTGTCTCTTGTTCTTGCCCCGGCTAGGGACCGAACCCGCAACCTAGGCATGTGCCCTGACCAGGAAAGGAACTGACGACCTTTTGGTCCACGAGACAATGCCCAAACCACTGAGCCACACTGATAACGGCCGGGTTTTTTTTTTTTTAAATTTACAATCTGTCATGAGCCAATACTTTTCTAAAAATGATATAAATAAGTTACTAGAAAAATACTTGATTAGACATAAAATTATTCTGTTAAATTGCTATAAAAGTGCTTAAATCTTTCTCCTAATTCCTGTACTAAGCCTTGTAGAGGGCATAAAAAATTCACTGATTGGCACACTGCACACTGCACTTTGAGTACTACTGGTATAAGTCTGGAGAATTTAAGAGATTCTAAGAGGTATAAGAAGCTTACTATTCAACTCCACCTTTGCACACTCCAGATCCATATGATCCAGACCCCTCTTTCAATTCTGTTGTTTCCTTAGGTGTTTGATTTTGTGTTTTAAAATAATGAGCTATGAGGCTAAAAAGGCAACTGATGAAATTTAGTATTCTTTTTTTTTAAATTCTCACCTGAGGATATACTTACTGTTTTGGGGTGAATAGGGGAGGGGAGAAAAGGAGGGAGGGAGAGAGGGAGCTAAAGAAACAGTAACATTGGTGTGAGAGAGAAGCAGCAGTCTAGTGCCTCCCTTATGCACCCTGACCAGAGACCAAACTCACAACCTAGGTATGTTCCCTGATGGGGGATCAAACCTGCAGCTCTTTGGTATATGGGAAGATGCTCCAAACAAGTGAGCCACCTGGCCAGGGCCAGTATCTGTTTTTGATAATACCAGTTTTGAATGATCTCTTTGAAATGCCAATTATAAAAGATTAGCAAATCAGTCTAAGAATAACAGTGATCATGGCAACAATAGTAATAGAAATTGCGTGTGCACCATGTGTCAGGTACTGTTTAAGTGCTTTTTAATTGTGTACTAACAGATTTAATCCTTAACAACTCTGTTACATAGATAGGCAAAGACAAGGTACTTTGTCTAGACGTATGACGTAGATACTAAAATGCTCTGCATTTTAAGATGAGGTCACAGACATAAGACTTACCGCTTACTTTCCATTTCTTCCCCAACTGTATTAGTGTTATCACTTCTATATGCAGCCTGAGATAGCTTTTTTTATCTTTCCTACTCCAGCTGGGCAGCCTGACTCACATTTAGGTTTACAATAGAGTCACTGGGTTTTGTAACAAAAGAAGTTTATATTTATTCTTGTTGCCCTGTAATAATTGTTAAGGAAAGAATGGAGAACTATTATGCTCCCATTTTAAACCTGGAAGCCTGAGGATCTTTTTAATGTGTTTATCAACAGAATGATATGACAACTGTACGACTACGATGGGGAGATATACTTATGCCATTGCTCAAAAAATACAAACTGAATATCACATGGGGTGATCAAGACCTATTGAATATCATATTTTTTCATAATCCAGGTAATCATTTAATTTCTTCAATTCTTTGCATTTTTTTAAAAAAATTATATTTAGTTAAAATGAGGAAATGCATTTATTTGCTCTTGGCTTATAAATGATTATCACTATGTTAAAGGCAATAAAAATTTTCCTGAATATTGATTCAGTAGGAAGAGATCTAAATGCTAAACATGTTTTTTATTATTTTAAATTTTATTCTGTAAGGTCTGTATTTTTAAACTAAAATTTTTGCAGAATATTAATTCTGTGGAATTAGGGTTGTTATTTGCTTCATTGTTTTGTCTTTCTTCACATAGAAAGCCTTTTTGTTTTTCCGTGTCAATGGAATTATCGACCAGATCATTGTATATATGGAAGTAATTGCCAAGAAGCAGAAGAAGAAGGAATCTTTATTCTTCATGGGAACAGAGGCGTTTACCATGATGATAAGCAACCAGCATTTAGAGCTATTTATGAAGCACTGAGAAATGTAAGCATTTTTTTAAAGCTTTAATGTGGAAATACTTGCAAGTTTACAGAGAATTTGTAAGAATAATACGAAGAATTTCCATATCCATTACTGTTGGAAATCGCTATGTTGTTAACATTTTAGCCCATTTGCTTTATCATTGGTTCTCTTTATACCGGTATATATGTTTTTTTCTGAACCATTTGAATGTAAGTTGAATACGTCATGTGTTTTTTACCCCTGAAAACTTGTGTGTTTTCATGAAGAATAAGGACATTTTCTTATTATCCACAGTACAGGTATCAAACTCAGGAAATTTATTATTGATATAATGCTTTACCATCCATGTGGCTTTACTCTTCTTTGATCTAGAACGGTTTCCCAGTCTTAATTTTTTATGGCATTGGCATTTTGGGGAGACTAGAGCCCCTTTTATTATTAGAATGTTTTTCATATTGGCTTGTGTGATGTTTTCGTATGATTTGGTTCAGGGTATGCCCTGCTGGCCCGAATACTGTGTAGGTGAATTTGTGTTCTTCTCAGGGTATCACATCCACAGTCACCTTTGTCTGCTTGCCTCTCATTGGTGACGTTGGCTTTGTCACCAGTTACTCGGTCAAAATGTTGTTCAATTTGTCCATTGTATAGTTATTTTTCCTCTTGTAAGCAGTCATGGGGAGACTCTTTAAAATTATGTAAATACCCTGCTCATCAAAATGACCATGCTAGATTTAGAATCGACTGTTGCAAATCTTTACTATGCCAGTTACAGATTGGCGGCTGTCCAGTTCTGGCACACCTTCCACATACAGCTTTGGCACTCTGCACTCACTCCCTTTTTGCCCATTTATTGACCTATATGTTATCAGTATGAAACCAGTATGTATTTTTTCTGATGATTTATAATGCGTTCTCCCTTTTATTTATGTCGTTTCAAATCTGGCCATTGGGAGCCCTTTTCGGCCACCACCTCTTGTACCCTTTTGACATATTTCGAACATTATTTTGAGAACTCATTATTTGTCCCAATATATTACTCTAGGCTTACCTTGATATACCTTCCCTATCATAGCCCTTAAATGAACTCTATGTTAAAGGAGCCGGGTTTTGTTTGGTGGGCTCCAGCTGCTAGGCATGCTTATTTACTACAAGGGTATCTTCATTTCTTAGCCCTTACGTTAACAGAGCTAGGAGATGTAAACTCTCTCTCTCTCTCTCTCTCTCTCTCTCTCTTTTACAATAATGTGCCTGCACCAGTGCCCCCATTTCTGTACTCCCAAGGCCCGCCCTTGCTATTTTTTATTCTATATTTCTATACATTTCTATCCTGGCTCCTAACATAAAACATTTCTTCATTTGTTTAGTCCTACAATACATCTAAAATAATTTGAAAAATGCTCCATTCATAACCGTTTTCTCTGCTCCCCTCTAAATCCAGTGTATTAAGAAGAGTTAAGGATTATTTCCAATCCTTTATCTTCCCCTCTGCGGGAGGATGAAGGTGTGTGCTCAATATTGTGTTCAGAAGTTACTTGGGTTAGTTCTTTATCCTCCCTTTCAGTGAAGTTAATTTTATTCATTTCAAATACAATTGGGATCATTTGTTTTAGTATGCTTTTAGTTTTAAGGCTTTTCCCCCTTCCTGTTGATTTAACTTTAATTTTATATGTGGAGCACTAATAGACTTCAAAAAGTTAGACTATATAAGGGTTTACTTAGGACTGTCACTCCCTCCCCATCTGTTTCACCCCACCGCCCCCATCCCGCCCCACAGGTGTGTCCTTCCTGTACACATGAGCAAATGGATGCTTTATAGTTCCCTTCTTCTTAAATACTTCATATTCTTTTGCTCTTTGATTTTTTTCAATTAAAATATTCTGGAACTGCATGCATTTATATATATCTTTCTCTTTTAAATAGTTATATGATACTCCATTTTGTGTATGTACCAGAGTTTATTAAACTCCTGTCTTATATTTGAATATTTCGTTAGTTTTCTAATAGCGTGAATTATAAATAATACAGCAATGTGTAACTGTACGATAGGTATGTTTTGTCAGGAGAAGTGACTTCAGGGTAAATTCCTGGAAGTGAGGTTGCTGGATTAACGGTAATGCCTCTTTCACCTGTGAAGGGATTGTTTGCATTCCCACCAACCATTTATGAGGAGGCCTGTTTACATAGCCTCCTCACTGGAGTGTACTGTCAGGCTTTTAAAATTTTGCCTTTCAGATGAGTGAGAGATGGCATCTTAGTGTAGTTTTAATTTGTATTTCTTGTGTGAGCAAGGTGAACATTTTTTTATGTGTTAAAGAGCCATTTTTTATATATTGGTGAATTTTCTTTGTGCTTTCACATATAGTGTTTAAAAAATAATTTTATTGATACCTATTTTATATATCACAAAATTCATCCATTTAAAGTGTAAAAATCAGTGATTAGCATATTTGCGGAGTGATACAACCATCACCATGAAGATGTTTTGGTCATTACTTCCTCCACCCTGACAATTGTTGCAAGTTCTTTGTATAATAGGGATATCAGCCCTTTATCTGCAATTCCTGTTATAGTATTTTTCTCCTGTGGCCTTTTTTTTGCTATTTAATCTGGATTTTATTTAAAGATTTTATTTATTTATGTTTAGAGAGAGGGGATTGGAGGGGGAATGAAAGGGAGAGAAACATCTATGTGAAGGAGAAACATTGATTAGTTGCTTTACACGCCCCATCTGGGGACCAACCCCGCAACTCAGGCCTGTGCCCTGACGAGAGACTGAACCAGTGACCTTTTGCTTTGTGGGATCATGCCCAACCAACTGAGCTACAGTAGTCAGGGCTCAGTCTGATTTTTTAAAAAATTTTGTGTAATCAAGTTTATCAACCTTTTTTTTTAAAAATTCATAATTAGAAAGCCTTTTCCTAACGACACTAAGGTTATAGAAAAATTCACCTATATATTGTTTTGTTTATTACATTTAGTTCTTTGCTCAATTTGGAATATACTCTTGTATTGGGTGAGGAATAGATCTAATTTGACCTTTTTCCAAATGACAGTCTTGTCCCAATACCATTTTTTAAAAAGTGTATCTTTAACTCAAAGATTTGAAATACTGACCCTATCAATATACTAAAGTTGCATTTGTAATTTCTGGATTTTCTGTTTCATTTTACTCGTCTGTTCATTTGTATGTTAATATCATTATACCATGTTACTCATTAAGGCTTCATGCTGTGTTTTAGTATCTGGGAGGGACACTTCCTCTTCGTAGCCTGTCCTCCTCAGTGTGTTCCTAAATCTTTTATATTTTTCCGCAAATACCAACTCATTTAACTACATGAAAATCTTGTTGGTATTTTTATTGGGAGTATATCAACTTCATGTATTAGGGGCTGCTGACATTTCGATGGTATTGAGACTTAAGAACAAGGGCTGTCCTTTCATTTGCGTTTTTCAGGAATGTCTTACTAGTTTTCTTTATGTAGATTTTGAACATATATTGAGTTTGTGCTTAAGTATTTTATCCTTTTTGTTGCCTTTGTAAATGAGGTTTCCTTACTCTTAATCATTTGCTTTTATTGAGTTTGTGGGGAAAAAAATTATACTGGCCCTCTCCATACCAGTGCCCTAGATAGCTGTTCTCTTTTTTTTCTTGTTCTTACAGTCCCCTTTTGTGTAATTATGGTGGTTTGACAAGGAGAGGTGATTATACTTCACATACCTCTAGATCAGGGGTGTCCAGCCTGCGCCCACGAGCCGCATGCAGCCCAGGGTGGCTATGAATGTGGCTGAACAGAAAATTGTAAATTTACTTAAAACAAAACTTAGTTTTATTACTAAGTTTTATACTGTTTTATTACTTAGATATGTACATTTTCTGTGTTAGCAATCACAAACTTGGGGCAATTGCTTGACAATTTTAAAAGATTATCGAAATGGCCACGGCATAGTTAGGGTTATTATGTGAGGACTTTTTTGCTTATCTCTGGTGGCGGATATCATGAAAATTATGCGTGGACTTTTTTTTTTTGCTCATCAGTTTTTGTTAATGTTTGTGTATTCAATGTGTGGCCCAAGAACTCTTCTTCCAGTGTGGCCCAGAGATGCCAAAAGGTTGGACACCCCTGCTCTAGACTGATGCATGAAACCAGGTCCCTGAATCTGCTGGGGACCAGGACTTGGGGCAAATTCAAATAAGGAGTGACTTATGATTTTGTTTAGTGAGCTGTATCACTTGCTGTGCATGCAGCTAGTTTACTGATACCTGGGGAGACATGTGACCACTTACCTCTCATGTAGTTCTGCTCTCTGTTAGGCTGGACTGTGCCTTATCTTCTATGGATATGAAGACAAAACATAAGCAAATACTAGGAGTGCTAGTTTGGTTTTGGTGTGGAGGTCAGGAGAAGAGCTGATGTCCCTATTGGCTGGATTCTCATTCTAATTAATTTCCAGTGACTGAAAACCTCTGGTCTAGTACACCCTAATTAATAGAAATGAGGATAAAAATACTTAACTGTAACCCACTGTGACACAATACAGCTGTATACTCACTGAAGAATATAAAATTTAGTGTTGATGTTCATTTAATGTAGATTCAGAAATCAATATTGTATTTAAATGATGTTTTTTCATGGGTTTTCCAAAGGTGATAAACATGAAGATAAGTATTTTTGGGGGTTCTGAGACTTTGCAGGACACAAAAGAAATGTATTCTTATAAAAATGCAATTTGTTTCCTTTGAGCATTAAAAAATCCATTATTAAAGAATTAAATCTTGCGAATTTATTTGATCTTTTCTTTGATCTTTTATAAATATGTACCTTTAAAAAGCTGAGTAATGGTTTTAAGCTGATTAATTACACTTGACTTTTTAAAACAAATCTTTTAAAAGTATTTCAATACTGAATTAATGATTTTTGTGTTTAGGGTCTGCAGTAACTCCATTTTTCAACTTAATGAAATTAATCAGCCTTTTATGGTGCCTTTGGTTAGTGTTTTTATCTTATCTATAACTCAGTGAGAGGTGTAATTTTTAAAAGAATTACATTCAGACAAAGGTATTTATGCAGGTTTCAGAGAGACATTTAATCATAACCATCGAGTACGGTGAACAATATGAATTACAAAGGATGCGAATCATTTTTAAATTGTAAGTGCATGGCTGTGCCTGCCAGCAAATCAGTTTTTCAGTCCATACATATTTGTTAAATATTAGTTGTTGAGTGAACAAAAATACTAAGATTAAAAATTGCAAATTCAAAATGGGAACAGAATATTTTATTACTGTGTAAGATACTTTCTACTTAATGTATTTTGTTCTGAATTACTATATTTCTTCGTATTTCTGTGTTAACTTTGGTTTACTTCACACCCCCCTCATATTTGCATAGCTATCTCTGCAAGGGAGCCTAATGTGTTTACCTCTTACACTACCTTCTTAGACATCTTTGCACCTAGCATTTGTTGGATTGAACTGCCATTCTGCCATATTCTAAATTGAAAAATGCCTTGAATTATCCAGTTGTGGCCATCATGGCCTCACTATTTACTCGCCGCCTTTCAATAGGCAGTCTCATATACAGAGCCAGACCTTCTTAAAAGTTTGTGTACTAGGTGCTGTGCCAGTGACAGGGGAGGGTGGTTAACTGTGTCTGGAAAGGCTTCTCAGAGGAGCTGACAGTTGAACTGAGTTGTAAGGATGAGTACCAGGCAGGTGAAGATGAGTCAGGTACAGCCTACAGTACGGAAAGAAGCCTGCAGTCATGTTAGGGCACATGCGACTTCTGGAAAAAGGAAACGCCTAGATATCATTACATACCGCATAACTGCAGGCATTACACATTATGTGAATGGAAGAATGTGATGACTTCAGGCTATATTCCTATCAGTGGAAATTTTGGTAATTTATCATCTTTATTTTAAGACTTTATTTCTTTTTAGTGAGAGGGAAGGGGAGGAAGACAGAGAAACATTGATATGCGAGAGAAACATCAGTTGGTTGCCTTTTGCACACCTCCAACCAGAGACCTGGCCCACAACCCAGGCATGTACCCTGACTGGGAATCGAACCAGTGACCCTTTGGTTTGCTGGATGATGCGCAGTCCACTAAGACACACTAGCCAGGGCTCATCTTCTTTCCTAAAGGTCAAATTACTTGTTAAATGGTGGACTAAAGAGCTCAATTTATGAGGCACTATTTTTAATTTCAGGAAAATAATCATCAAAAGACTTTCTCAGTGATGAAAAAAATTTTAACCACAAACACTGGTATTTAAATCCCATGAAAAATGAATGAACTGAATCTGAAGTATTTCATTCTCCTGGGAATTAACTTCCAAATACCTTTATAATGTTTTCATTTTATTGTCATTGCATTGTAAGAAAATGTCACAGTTTGGTCTTCCCTTTCTTATCCACCTCTCAACCACAGTTGTCCAAGTATGTCTTTTGTGCACATTGAAATGTTACTTGAGAGTATCACTTGGTAAAGGGAATACCGTTGATAAAGGTTACCGTCTTCAACCTGGCTGCCACTTTTAACCCCAAACAAACATATATCTATATATAGCACAGCACTTTTCCCAGTTTCCCATTGTTAATTGAGCTTCACCTTTCAACAGGATTTTGGAAACTGACTTGGCACGGTTTCTTTTGCTTATTTGGATTAGGCAGTGCTGTGTGGTGGTAAAGTGCTTGGTCTTTTGGAGCTGGGTAGCTGGGGTGGAATCCTGGCTTTGCCACTTACTAGCTTTGTGGGAAAATTAACTCTGCCTGCCTTAGTAGTTTTGTTGGAAATGGGGATAATTATATTACCTATTTTATAAAGTTGGTGTGAAGCCTAGCATGGAGCCTAGAATGTGTCAACAGGAAATACCCTTTTGAAAACTAGTCCAGCTTTCAATGGTTTCTCCCAGATACCTATGTGCTGGTTGTTATAACTTTTATTACATTCTTCCTAGTTAAGCTTCCCACCTCTTTTTTGTTTTTTGTCTTTGAAACAACTTTAGATATTTATCTTCAGTATAGATGATTGGGTTTTAAAAATCATCCCAAGAGTGATAGTTTTATGCAGTTAATGCTCACAGTTTTCTCAGCTACCAAGGATCTGTTTAGGATCTGCTTTAGCATTTCTACACAGATAAAAATCCAGGCAATAAATTAGTGTAAGTCCATCCTTTACCCCTAGATTGGCTTTGGCTTCTTCCTACAGACTTACTAGTTGCGACTTCAGTGGTGCTTTCATTTCCTCTCGCTCGGTGTCCAGTAGTGAAGTTCAGGGATAACCTCAGGCCATTTACAGCCCTCTGAGATTTCAGGCTCTGAATTTCCTTTGGGATCTTGCATTTCTCACTAACTTCAGACTTTCACATAAAATGTTCTATTTGCAAGCCCCATCCAGCTTTCTAACTGAAAATTTTCCTAGTTGCAAATGCTAATTAAAAAATATACCTCTTTGCAAATACTAGAATGACAACCATTACCACATTGTTTTTCAAAATATATTCCATGGGATATAGATGTGTGTGTGTGTGTGTGTGTGTGTGTGTACGTGTACGTGTACACATATGCATATCTGTATGTATATGGGATTTGTGCAGTTAGGGTTCTTTGGGAAATGCAGAACTGTGCTCTTATTTTGCATTTCTGCCACTCCATGCCTCTCTCGCATTCCTTTCCAGTTCAGCCTCAGCACTCTTATTAGAGTGATTTGGGGCTTTATTAGTTTCTCTCAGAGTTTTCAGTCATCGCCGCCACACAGCAGTTGGTATCTCTGGGTATTCTCTGTCCTTAGACATGTAAGAACTCTTGCCTTGGCTTGAAACGCCCTGCCTCCATTATGTCGTCTGTGAAAAACTTTCCCTGGGAACTCAGTGATTTACCATTACTTTCTTCCTCCTCTAAAATGTGAGGCTGTAATTCTGTTTAATTCATTGAAAATATTTGTTGAGCATATGCTTTTTGTGAGACTAAATGGGGGTTGGCAATATTAAATTGAAGAAATTAATTTGGAATTAATTATATATTTATATGTATTTGTCCTTTTATTTTCTTTCTCTAGTGTTCTTTTGAAGGTGACCACATCCATTCCTTATTAAAACCTTTAGAACTGGAATTGCAAAAGACAGTGCATACATACTGTGGAAAAATTTACAAAATATTTATTAAACAGTTAACCAAAAGCATACAAGATCGTTACAATAGACCGCCAAAGGAAAGGTGATTCTTGGAAGATCACTAAATCGAATGAATTAAACCAACAAAATATTAGAGGATATGTGTGAAGGAATAGTCTTGGATGAAATATTCAGGAAGGAATTTTTCATCTTCAAAATAATTTTTTTTCTTGAAGACATTAAATGAACAGTATATTCATTTAATGAAGAATAAATTAAGGTCTTGGACTCCAACAAAAAGACATTTTTTCATCTCTGAAGTTTTGTAATGTTATTTGCCGTCATTCCGGTATTGATGAAAATATTGACTGGTTGTAGCCTACATACTGTGGTTGACTCTTATTCTCCAGTGAGTAAGAACAGTAGGGGTGTGTGGATGGAGATGTACCTCATACACAGTGGGAACACTCAAACTGTGAGTATAGCAATAATTTTATGTCAGCACTAACCTCACTTTAAATGTGTGAGCAAACGTTTACAGGAGCAGAAAAGATTGTTTCTAAAGAAATGTGATGTAACCATTGACAATCTAAATGTGCCTTTAGATTTCATCTCTGTTTTCAAATCTTTCTGTGACAATCATATTTAAAATTATTTTTCCATTACAAGTAAACTGCACGTTTAAAATGGACTTATATAAGAAAGAAGGAAAACAGTGAAAATTGTGGTGTTTTAGTCTTTGTCTGTATACTTGTGAAATGTAGTATTTTCATTTGTATATGCTAAAACTGTTTTGCCAAACTCAGATCTAAGATTGTTAAACATATTTTGGGAAATTTTTTTATCACTTTAAATGAAAATTTTCAGCTTTACTGGGCATTCTGGAAGGAAAAAAAATGCTGATAATAACGTGAAAATCAAAATAATACACATATATGATGGTGGAAAATGTGATGGACCAAAATGTGTAGCTGTATACATCCTGTGAACAGTAATTTTAGTTATAAGTGGAGCAGGAAAAAGTGCTCATTTAAACTTTTTTTCTTCTACCTCACTATAACTTCGCAAGATATTTTTGAAGAAGCATATATAGAGAGCCTTACTTTAAGTAAATTAGACAACATTCATGGATGATTTGGATTAAGAAAATCATTACCTCTGACTACAGAAAAAGTAGTTTTGATTCGGTCAATGTGAATGTTTTTCTTTTTTGAATATCACTTAAGACAAACTTAAGACAGCTCTTTTTTTTTTAGTGTTGAAAATATGAAAAATATTACTTCTCATAGTGTTCTTGGCCACTCTCTAAAGTTTGGAGCACATATAGCAGGTTGTTTGTAATGGCCCCCAAATAAGACCATTGCCTGCCTGGCTGTATTGGACTCCTGGGGGTGGGTGTGTGGAGCTTGTTGAGAATGGATTTCTGAGCTTCACCTTTGAGAACTCTGATCCCCTGTGTCTAGGGTGGGATCTGCAAACATTTCTTTTTAATGAGGAGATTATAAAAATTACACAAAAATAGAGAGAGTGGGTGCTGATTGTTCAGATGAAGCACTTAATATCTTACCATCCTATTCATGTCATCTGTCCTTTTTTCTTTGCTAAAGTATCTTAAAGAAAATCTCAGACAACATGTTATTTCATTGCCATGAACCCTTTGGTAACTACTACAGTGACATCATACCTCCTCAATATGACATGAATTTCCAGTCCTTAAATAAATTACTGGTTGTCTCCACTGTTAGGAGGAGGGTGCAGAAATAAGCCACGCTACGATTCTATTTTTAATAAGCACCTCAGGTAATGTTGATGTCAGCTAGTTTGGGAACCACTGCAAATCATTTTGCCACCTTGAAGGTTTCAATTAGAATATAACAATTCTTGGCACAGTTGGTGAATTAAAATTGTGATTCTGAAGTATTAGAGTAAGTACTTGCAGTTATTGACTAGATAGAAATTTATCTTCTAAGCAAGTTCCTTAGGTTTAAGTTCCTCGCTGAACAGAGAATCTTAGCCCCATTGCTTCTGAAATGATTGATTGGGACTGTGTAGAGTGTGGTCATAGCTTAATCCAACTGGACTGTTTACTGTGGTCCCACACATGTTGTGGCTTATTTACATTGTCACACACTACACACTGTTGATCTTTTGGAAGATTCTTCATCTGGTATATATAGACCTGGCCTAATTGGCATTTTTACTATAAATAGGGTTCTGGTGAAAATTTTCCACTTAAGGACTATTTTTTAAACCTAAAATTTAGGATACCACAGAAAGTTCATAAAAATATTAAAATGAATTTTCTGAATTTATCTTTAGATAAGGTAACTTTCCTTGAGAATTTACAAGAAATGCAACTCTCAGCATTAATGAGGTTAAATTATAGAACAACTTAAGAATATTATATTTCTTTTCATTAAACAGTATATCTATGCAGTTTATATAAATTACATTATATATTCTTTGAGTCTATGTGTTAGAACAATTCTGACCTCAAAACTCTCTCTGGGCTACAGTATTACCAAAGTGGAATGACTAAAATGTAGTAAAACTTTATTTGTATGAAGTAGCCATCTTAAAAGAACTTGGAAAACTTTGAGAAATATATATTGTGATTTACATTTTAAGAAAATACATACTTTTTGTTTTCCCTATGAAGGGAAGTTTGTAATGTGTTAGGTAACCCAGTTATCTTTTGACACTTTAGAACCTGAAATAATATTACTGCTTACTGTTGCTCTCTCATCTTGCCTTCGGTCAGATGTTACTGGTGCAGAGGAAAGAAAATCAGACTGTGAAATGGATCTGGATACTCTTCCTGGTTAGGGACCCCAGGCATATATCATTTAACCTTCTCTGTGCCTTGGGTTTGTAAATAATCAGTGTGCCCTTCTAACCTCATGAGACCCAGGAGTCATGAGTTATGAAGTTACGAGACTCCGATAGTTTGAAGACACTCTGCATGGCATAGTCTGGTCACATTAGCATCACTGTGGAGGTTCTGTTTGCACGGTTATCTCCTGTACAGACCCTTCTTTCTCCTTAGGCTCAGTGTTCTCTGATATGTGTTACAGCTCTAGTATTAGTTTGCTTATATTATGTAAGGAATAGGAAGCAGAGACGAAGAGGATATAAGTGAATGGTCAAAAGAAAAAAAGAAGGAAAAGAGAGGAAGTGAGGAAAGTGAGGAAAGAGAAGGGGATAAGAGTGAGAATGGCAAAAGGCAGTCAGAGAAGATGGACTGAGAGTGGGAAAATCGAGATGGAGAGAAATGGAGTGGAAACAGTCACTTACTGAGTTGTGGTCCCCCCCACCCCCCGCCCCACGTCCCCTTGCCACTGTCTGCCTTCCTCTAGTTCAGTGCTCGTGGCCCTCCAGGGTCAGGAAGGTTGCTGGCTTTCATGGGCAGGGCAGCAAGCTCCCTTTGCTTGATTTGTTAATACTAGAGTTGTTTCCCAGCCACACTACTCACTTATCATTTAGTGCTAAGGAATCGACATTGTTTGTTTGTTTAACTGGATTCCAGTCGGTGAGGTAGGACCTGTGGAAACATGGTCCTTTAATAGTTATCCCAAATGCTGGATTATGCCAAGACTAACCACATAGAATCACAGGAGAGGTTAGGGTGGAGGGGATGGCTTCCCTAGGTTTGAAGGGAAGCAGGAACTTAACCTCATCAGTTTCCCAAGATGATACTGATAGGGAAGCCAGGTTTGGGAATCACTACCCTATACCTAAATGGTAGCTTAAACGATTTGTCAGTTCCTCAGTAGGTATACTTTCAGTTGAACCATTATGAATGGATTCAAGAGAACAGGAGAGAGCAGAAATACATGAAAGGGAAAAACCTTAAAAGATAGTATTCAGTGTCTTCTTTTTCAGAAGTTTATAGTGTAAGTAATAAGTGCCTTAGGTAGTAGTCAGAACTTCTTTAAGGTATTTTTAGAAAGACCACTGATCTGTTTTTGTTTTTTAAATAACTTTTTTGGTTCCTTAGAGTGAATGGAGAAGAGTAGGACAGAGTAGGAATATGTCAGGTGTGGGGTCAGCTACACATTTATTAAATGTAATTTCATGTGTCTTTAAACAACAATTGCCTTTTAATATTTAATGAAAATAGATTAAGTAATGATTTGTAACTTTTTTTTTTATACACTGCCAAAGCAACCCTTTTATGCCCTATTAAATTCTGGCCAAACTGTTCTGATGTTTATTGTTTCTTAATTCATTAAACATGAAACTAAATTTTAAAAACTAAGTTATAAAGTTAGATAAACTTACGACAAGTCTAAAAGGTGGTACAAGAATGTTCTTTTAAAACTAAAAATGAATATGATGTTAATTCAACTATTTAGCAAGCGTAGGATTATGAGAACATGGAATAGCATATTGGAATAGGAAATTTAAAGTTGATTATAAATCACTGTCAAACTTACTTTTAAATGGAAAATATGTATTGTCAGTTCATCTCTCAGTAATTCCAAATGTCTAGTGGGATTATTTCTTTAGGATTTTCTATAAACTTAGTTCTCAAACAAAAGAGAGCCTTTGAAAAGATACAAAATGAAAATCTCTGTAACTACTAATACTGTGAGTGCTGTTTAGGGGACTGTGGTCATACATTTTGATATCAAACTTAGCTGATGTGGAGCCTTTTATAATGTTTCCACATACACACAATCTGAATATGTGAGCACATTCACACATATAACACCATAGCAACTCCTTGTAAAAACTGAACAGGACTCAACAGTATATGTTGTGTAGAAAGTAAATTGACTTTGACTATGATGGAAAATAGCTATTTTCAACCTTTGTATAAAATCTCTTCAGGGAGTATTGGAATGTTGTGGGAAAATAATTCAGGGCTTGTAGTATAGCTGTAGACTATGTCATTTATTCGAAATTTAGAACACTCATACATCATATTCATTATTTAAGCCAGACCAATGGTTTTTGATGGGGTGCTCTAACAGGAGATCTATGAAGCAGATGGTTTGCACCTGTTCTAAAAAAAAAGAAAAATTGGTAAAGGTTGCAGGTGTTTCAGCTTTTTTTTTTTTACAAGCCTTTTGCATAAATATATTAATAATTTGAGTAGAATGGTTGTAAAGATGCAGAAGGCATCTTAGTATACTGTGATATGCAGAGATTACTATCCTTAAACTGCTTCTTACCTTAAAATATTATAGTTTTAAGATAATTTGGATGTCTTCCTCCA